GTCCTCGTTTTGGGGGAGATATGTTTGAATGTTTATGGGCATGAGGCCACCTCCCTTTCTCCAATGTTCACATAAATCCTGTTGGCAACATAAAGACAATGAGAGAAACAGATGTACACACATAGTGAGAGAGACAGGCATTCACACACACACAGAGACGCACCAGAGACACATGAGTCTTAAAACAGCCTAACAAAACAGAAACCTGATATCCATCTTGGTGTCCCAGAAAGTGGGTTAGACTAGATCTTAAAAAGACATGAGTGGTAGACCTAGTTTTACTATTTAACTGCAATCTTCAGAAAATTAACCTAACTCCGGCCTCAGCTTTCACCTGTTAAATGAGAGTGCCGAATTACATTTTTTGAGGTCCCTTCCAGCTTTGTGAGTCACGTGTGAGCAGAGGTTTTTCCGCCACGCAATTCCCGAAGGGTGATAAAATGAGCAGATCAGATGTAAGCAGTGATTACCAAGTAGCAGGGTTAGTAAGGAAGCCTCTGCAATCAAATTCCCTAGGTTCAGAGCCCACTTCCACCACATGCCAGATGGGAAACTCCAAGCAAGTTATTTAGCTTCTGTGCCTTATTTTCCCATCTGTAAAGTGAGGGTGGCGTTGATGATGATAAAGAAGAATTCCTTGGTGGGCTATAGCATCTATCACCTAAGGTGATTGTCAGGACTGAATTAATACACGTCAAGTACTTAGAACACTGCCTGGAATACATTAATGTTTATTAAGCTCAAATGTTACCCTTTTCATTATTACTGTTATTGCTTGAATTTTTAGAGTACTGTGCTACAAAACTGAGCTGGTGGTGATTAATGCTGATAAGCTTGACTGTTAATCATATTAATTTCTATACTAAGCATAAATCCAGAAAACCCAGCATCCTGGAATCTGCTTTGAACAGAGCACAGTGCCGTGTCTTTGGACACACTCCCGAAAGTACAGGCTGCGGCAGAAGGCAGGCAGGCCTGCTTCCACGTGGTTGGTGGGGCGATAATACGGGTGTAGTAATCTACAGTTTTAATTTGAACATTTCACCTAAAAGGTCATAGGGTGTGCTTGAGTGTGATATGGTTATGTTCTAGAACTACATGCTTATGATTTTGTAATAAAATATTTTGTAATTAAAAAGAGGCGTTATTTGTGCAGGAGCCCGTATTTGAAATGCTGACCTTAGAGAGGATTGACAGTATTGGATAAACAAGCCCCTTAACTCTTGCCCCTTAACTCTGTTGTAATTTCTGTGTAAGTGCTCTGTTGATATTATATCTCAGGGCCCTGACATTGACAGTCTCTCACACTGTAGAAAGCAGACTGGTAAGTCAAAGGAAGGCATTCTGAAAAATGCGGTGTGGCACCCTTGTGGGAGGGGGAAGCCTGGGACATAATTACACTAGTGGTCTTTAAAAGCCGAAAACGGTTTGCACGTTTTATTAGTTTGCTAGGGCTGCCAAACCGAGCACACCACCACAGACCGGGGCTTGGACAGCAGAACTTAGTCATCTCACAGTGCTTGGAGGCTAGAAGTTAGAATCTGCCCGCAGGACTGGTTTCTGCTGAGGCCTCTCTCTTTGGCATATAGGTAGTTGCGTTCTCCCTTTGTCTTCATGTGGTCTTTCCCTGTCCTGTGTTTGTGTTCAAATTTTCCCTTCTTATAAAGACACCACTCCTGTTAGGTTAGGGCCCACCCTAATACCTCTTTAACTTAACTACCCCTTTAAGACCCGGGCTCCCGGTGCGGCCACATTCTGAGACCCTGGGCATTAGGACTTCAACAGAGCAATTTGGGGGTGGGGCGACAAAGTTCAGCCCATAACATATTATAACGCATAGACACATAAAGATCCAAATAGTCCAGTAATATCTTCTATCTTCAATTGAGAGAAGAGTGATTTGACATTTGTAGTAAAAGCTTACATTGCTCAGTACTCTAGAGTTATGTAAAATGAGGTTTGCTTTTATACGGTGGTTTTAGAACCTTTGTAAATAATAACAACAAAAACAGGTCCCTTTACTAAATTATTAAAAAATGGCTTTCTTGATCAGAAAATTGTTTTCTGAAAGTACTTCCACGTTTTTTTTCCCTCACCTAATCCTAAAATGCCAAAAGTGGAATGAGAGATACAATTTAGACTGTTATCACTCTTTTACCCACCTCCCCCCAACAGATGAATAACCCTTCTGAAAAACCAGAAGCGCCAGAAGGTGGGGAAACTTAAATCTTTTGAGATCTTCTAGGGAATGTGTCGACGCATCCCACCCCCAGATTGGATGTTGCTGTGCATCCATTTTTTAAAATAGCAGTGCTTTTTGTCCATATTAAGATTTAGTATTTATAAATGTGACACATTTTATTTTTTTAAAGTTTCATATATAGGGTCTGGCAGAAGTAAGGCCTGCTTGAGTGTGGTTGGCAGGGTAATAATATGGGTGTAATAATTTATAGTTTTAATTTGAACATTTCACCTAAAATGTCACTTGGTGTTCTGGAGTGTGATACTGTTACCTTATAGAATTACATGATTATGATTTTGTAATAAAAAAGGAACGTCATTTGTGCCGGACCCTGTGTGCTGGGTTTCTAAGGAAGTACATTATCTAGTGGGAAGCTGTCAGAAACATTCCTTTAGTATGTTAGTGTTTGCTCTTTGAATTTTTAAGAACTAACCGGCCTCCTACACTTTGGTTTTGCTTATGTGTTTGTGAAAAAGTCTTTACATAATTGGAGCAAATTTACTTTGTATCTTTGCTCATATCTTATCACTGATACTAAAAACTTTCTGAATGGCTTGAATTTCAATCACTTGTAGCTCAAGTATAAATTCCTTACATTTGACGTCTGAGTATATTAAGAGGTGATTTTTATCTAGTTCTGCAAGCGTGATCTGTATAAAACAACTGGTTTGTTTTTATACTAACCAAGTTGATTATTATACACACACACACACAGATTGTTTGAGGTGTTTTATGTCAGGAAGTATCTAAGACATATTGAAAAATGTTGCTTTCCCCTTTCATGTCCCATGTCACGCTCCACTTAGAAAGTTCCACATGAAGACATACACACACACCCGGACACTGGATGGGCAGACACCTTACTTGTACTCCACCCTGCCCCGCCCGCTGTTTACATGGCTATAGAAGCTGTTTGGGGTGTCTCTCTGACACCGAAACTCTTTGTGGTAAAAGGGCGACAAAGCCTGCTATCCCATAGAACTGATTTAGAGTCCCAGAGCAAACGCTGAGACTTCCTCGGGAAGGAAAAGGCACCCCCAGAACCAGAATGAGTGGAGCCTAGGTGTTCTCCAGAGAAGGGACCGGGTCAGAATAAAATGAACAGAGCCCGGGCACAACAACATACCTCCATGGCGATGTTGGCGCTGCCATGTAGGAGGTCCCTGGGGCGCTGGGGGAGGCTTCCTTGGTACCCATAACTCTGGTGACTGTTGGCACGTGAACGTAGGTATAGAAAAGACTCGTGCTCTCCCCGCTGTTGGCTCTGACTTGGTGGGGAGCAGCATGTGAATAGACCAGATGGTATACAGGGCAAGGTCATGTTTGAAATCTATTGAGAACTTAAAAATAAGTGTCATACTTAGCCCATAAAGAGGCTAATTTTCCAGGGTATTAAAATTTATATAACTTTGTCTTTTTTATTACATATTTATATGAATTTTTTCATTGAGAAAACTATGATGCTTAATTTAGCTACAGCTAGCTGTATCCCATCCAGGTGTATAATCATGTACCCAGACAGCTTGTCCACGAGTGGTCTTTAGTTCAGATTTATAGACCGGGGCATTCCTCAGACAGAAATATCTGTGTCTCAATTCTAAGGAACGGGAAAGTTTGGTCTCCGATTCTCATAAGGAATGAGCTGAGCATCTGGTTGAAATGATCTTGTCTTGCAGAGTTACTTAATGGATGATGACAGTGACAAGTAACAGCTCATTTAGAAAACGAGCAGAGAATGAGCCTGTGGACGGCAGTGCCGCACGCCAGGAGTCTGGCGGTCGTGTTCTGATAATGACTGTGGAGTCAGAAACGGCCTTTTTCTGAAAATCCTGGGCCACGGAGCTTATGCATTGGGCAGCAGCTTTTGGCGGGGCCTGTTTGCCTGTGTGCTGGCTCTGTGCTGTTGTCACCGACTGCACAACAAGCTCGCACTTCCGTCCCAAAGGGAGAGATGCATCATTAGGTTAAGGACTGATCCTCGGTTGAAAGACACAAGCACTCCCTGCTGCGTGAGTCCCCCTCTGACACCGTCCCTGTTTGACAGTCAGGTTTCAGCGATTCAAATAGGCTTCCAGGCCTGCTGCCTAAAAATACAAGACAAAAATGATGTTTTATCAAATAAAATTTAAAACATCTTTAAAAAAAAAAAAGTTTACTGGGCCATACACTGTCAGAACAACACTAAAAATACTTTGTCTATAATTCAGCATTTAATATTTGAAAATAAATTGGAAAAAGGAGAAGCTTGGGATGAGTAATCAGCCTTATAGACAAAGTCAGGACGGTGACAGATGGATTTATGTGTTTACTGATTGGCAGGAGGTGAGGGAAGGAGAATCTCCCTCATACCCATTTGGCAGTTTGAAAATGTTGGTTTCTCGAGTTGTTTTTCTGAGCCCATTGTGCATAAGTCACAGGGATTCAAGCGCATAGGCTTTGGTCGGTTCAGGGCGGGAACGTCAGTCTCCACTAGAGATGTCCACAGTGCGTCCCCGAAATGGCAGCGGGCGCCCGCAGGTGAAAACCACGTTGAGGGCCCTCACCTTCCCTAATTCTAATTGCAGGAGGGAGGTCGGGTTGCTGGGTTTTTCCCTGTATTACTCAGCTTCAGCCTGAGCAGTGGCTGCTTTCCTCTTCGTTGTTCGAATCCGCCTGCAGCTGTCAGGCCTCCTCAGCACGACGACGGGTGACATTCATGGGATTCAGAAGTGGTTTATAGTGTGGTCACATAGGCAATAAATTTCTTATTATCTTGCAGCATTGGACACTTCTTCACCATGTTGACAGCATCTTAAGTATATTTGTCAATTTTCTCACGTTTTAACTGAAGAGAACTCTGAGGGTTTATACTTGCGGACTGAAGTGTGACCGCCGCCTGTCAGGTCAGTATTGCCCCGTTCTCACGCCCCCGCCCCCGCCCCGCAGCAGCACCCCTGCCCTGCTAAAGCGTCGTGTGGTTTGACTCTCTTCCATACAAGAAATGTATTGCAATGTCTTGTGTGTTGAGATTAGATTCAACGGTATAAAAAAAACCAAAGAACTGCTAGATTTTAATATTAATAAAGAAAGGTTATTGGAATATGCAAAAACAGACCCATTGGTGTTTGGATTATTATACAGCTGTGGCCTTTTTATATCCCCTCCTGTGTCATATTTGTATTACATTCACTTCATGCAGACACTAAGCTAAATGGTTTGGTACATATTAGCAGAATGTTTCCAGATATTAAAATTCATGTGTAGGCGTGATTTACAAATGTAGAGATAACAAGAATATTGTTCTTTATGCCATTGACAAAGAATAGGCTCTTTTCTTGCCCAGGCTAGACTGCTTTATAACTAAAGTGACTCTAAAGATTGTTTCACTTGTACTCTTTTGCAAGGATATGTAGTTATCACAACAGATGAAACACTTGGATTTAGGTACAATCTGTTTTAGTTCTTTACATATAAGGGTGGGCAAAAGTAAGTTTACAGTTGTGAGAACACGAAACACAGAGTTTATTGTATTATTATTTATTAGTTACTGTAGCATTTACTTGTATTACAATTATGTTTATCTCTTATTTAATTGAATTCTCTAACAAACCATTCTTGATTTTCACCCAGAGAAGCTTAGAGTGGAATCAAGAAGGACTAGAGATTAGCCAGCCTAATTTTTTTTTTTCCCAATCCATAAATGTTTTTATTTCCATTGTTTTAATCAAGCAAGTCTGTGTAGTGTTACCAGTGAGGAGCCAGTGCCAGAACAGCTGGGTCATTTCCTCCCCTCAAGGCCACACAGCCGGTCAGTGGCCGACCTGGGACCGAAACTCTGCACTCCTCACCCCACGTCTGTGTCCTGTTCACAGCCCACGGCTTCCAGACGCCACGGTTTTGGATCGCTCAATGAGAATAGTCACAGACTGTGAGGATATTGAAGAAGAAAGTAATATGCGAAAACACTGTTGGTTGTAACTCTTCCTACGTTCCTACCTTGGTGCTTAGACATTCAGTGACTTCAGTGCAGTTGGTATTTATGGGGCCCCTTTAGCAGTGTCCACTAGCCTGTTTGACATTTTAGGAGGGGAGAGAGAGGGAATAAAATGCTCAGATTTTCCCTATGCCTTATCATCTCTCTGAGGATGATAAGGCACCATCATGGAACCATCCATGGAAGATGCGGGAGGGAGTCACCTGCGGTTGAATTCCTCACCATTCTTCGCTCAGGATGCTATCACCCCACCCCACCCTTTTTTTTTTTTTTTTTTTTTTAAGCAGAGGGCAGCTGAAATTATTTCTGAGGTCGTTGATGTTGGCCACCCCCAATTTTGGTAATACCTTTCTTTGAATTCCTTTGGAAAATGAGAGAAGATAGTAGTCATTAATAAACCGTTGTCCCACTTGCAGCGGGAACTTGGCAGTACGTTTTACATTTATTAACTCCATCTCCACAGCAACCCTATGAGTTAGAGATCACCATCCCCCTTTCACAGATAAGAACATGATAATCGGAAAACTGGCCCCAAGTTATACAACCAGGAAGGTGCAGCCCTAGCGTCTCTCTGCGAAGCCACACACTCTGTCCAACATTCCACCGTCTATTAAGTTAAGCTTTCATAGGTCTGTTGTTGGTTGTTTTTGTTTTTGTTCTTATTTTAAAAATAATTGCTCTGGGTTATCTAACACTGATGTGAGAATCACTTGTCTCTAAAAGTCACTAGTTAGGCAGTTAGCACTCTAAAGCTAAAGTTACATTGAACATATTTTACCATGCGGCACAAAATTTGTACAGCACGTCCTGGAACACTGTCTAACAACACAGCAAAGAGTTTTCTCCATGTTTTCCTTCACCTGAAGGCAGTAGCTCTGGAGGGGATCAATGAGTCTTTTGTGTGCCTCCTAAAGTTGAATGTGCTCATGAGAGTTGGAGGGTGTGTGGCCAGGTGGGCTGTGTTGTGACTCACTCTCCGGAGAGCTGTGTCAGGGTGGCGATTTGCAAGTAAAACGTGGGAGAGATTAGTATTTGCTCTCCTTTGGAAGTTATAAAATGTGTTTTACCATAAATCCTGGTCAGAAGACCCCGAAATAGCCTTCTAATTTGTATCTCTGTGTGGTTTGTGAGAATTTATATCAAGGAAAAGTTAGAGTTTGTGCCATTTAACGTATTTCAGCATTGCTTTATAGAAATGTGAACTTAAGTGAAATTCATTTAGTAGCCTGGCTAATTAAGATGTTTACAGCAATATATTTTTAAGAAGTTATTTCAAATTATTTTTTCATATGGTTGCATTTAAGTCTTATTTTACTACATGAAATATAAATATTGATACATATTCTCTGTGAAAGTAGACAGTTTAAAAGAAAAATTTCTCCCATACTCCTACCGAACACTGTCTTTGCTCAAATTTCATTTCAACCAATTTCAGAGGGGCACCAGTTTTCAAAGCTAGTTATATAAAGGTGGGAAATCTCTATGGTGTAACAATTTTTGGTGAAATACTATTCATTGTAATAAAATTTCTAGTGAACAGAACTAGTGACTAATTCATTCTGAGACCTTCTGGGATGTTTGTAAATATGCCTGAAGGAAAAAGTGATAAAAATTGATTTTTGTGAGTAGTGATGAAATCAATAAAGTGAATTTTATTTTCTCAAAGCATTTTATACTATAATTGTTGCTCTTTTCTTATCTCTTATTTTTCTTAAATAATATCAAATTAACTCTGTCTTCAGAGATTGTCTGATCATTATCTCTGTTTTAGGCTTTCAGGATGAATCTGGAAAAACTCAGCAAGCCTGAGCTCCTAACACTGTTCAGTATACTTGAAGGAGAGCTTGAAGCAAGGGACCTTGTTATAGAAGCTTTAAAGGTATGTTAAAAAAAAAAAACAGAGAGAAAGAGAGAGAGATGCCATCATGTTTTGAAAGCTGTTTCATTGGCTGTAGTTCATTTAACCATAGTATTTCTATAGCCCTGTTGAAGTTAGAGCCTGATACTTGGAGTGGCAGCCACCTGTGATCTGTGATCTTAGGGACACTGAAGCCTTTCTGTCCCCAGAATAATTCTTTTAGTCTCTGTACCTGAAGTCTGGACCTTGAACTTCCTCCTTTGGCTTAGTGGTCTACGTTGTGTTGCAGTGCCATCCTCATGATAACTGGATGTGGCCTGCTTCCGAACAAGTGCACCCACCCATATACCACAGTTCAGGATACAGTGTCTGCGAGATCAAGGACCCCATGAAGACCTCCCATGGATTTGCTAGACCCCAGAATAAGAATTCTTACTTTTGTTTCAGTATTTGATGCCCATTAAAATATAAGGGGGTGGAGTGGGGTATTGACTGTACTTTCCACCCAGAGTTGCTGTAAGCCTAAAATCACTCTAAAAGATCAAGTCTCATTTTTAAAAAAACACAAGGTGGTGGGCAGACAGGGCGATAGCGCCTTCCAAGTGTCATAAACTTTTACACCCAGGCAGGGGTGTTCTCCAGTCTGTGTTGAGATGAGATTTGGGGGCCTTAAGAGTGCCTGTGAGTAGTAGAAAGATGATCCCCCCACAAGGAGGGGGAAATGGCCAAAGAAGATGAGGCTTGAGTGTGCTGAAGAAAGCACAGGCCCTGCCAAGTGTGACCGAGTCTGAGTATCTAAGGATTTTTATACTTTAAAATTATAATTAGAGGTTAACTTGATGTACATCCTAAAGTTCATTAGGTTTATGAAGTGCTGTACTATATTTTTTCAAAATGATCCTAGCTCTTTATACTACATAGCATGTTAATATGTCACGTGTGTTCATAAGAAGCACCTCTGTCGAAGGTTTTTGTGTAACAACAAAGATAACTTTCTTGGCCTCCCCAGCAGCTCGGAGAGCGGGGCCTTCCTAAGTAACTGCTTCTCGCGAGGGCCCGCAGAAGGCTGCGTCTCTGCTCTTCCTTGGCTTGTCTCTTCCTCCCTGCGCTGAGATAGAGTAAACATGTTTCTTTACTCCTATCTGGGTAGTCTTGTCTTGGATCACTCTAAAATTATAATTGTGATAAAAATAAAATCTAAACCTGTTATTTCTACAGGCTCTTATATTTCAAGTGACATTAATGTATGTTACTTAAGGCTGACTGAAAAAGACTGACATTTCTATCTAATTAAATACGCTTCAGGGTAATTTTTCACTGAAAACTATTGCTTATTTGTATTCCCTTGTAGCTTTGCAATGTGTGATACGTAATCCCCAATGGTTTCATTTCTCCAGAGTGCATGAGGCAGTTCCCTTGCGATAGGGAGGACGGAGTCTGTCCTACTGTCCTTTCCCTGCTTGCTTCAGTCTTGCTTTGCCTGACTTCCCTGTGATTTTTAAACAAAAATCCTACATTTATGCCTTTAACACATGCCTGGTCACATAGTGTTAAAATGAAGTTCTTTGCCTGAGTCTGCCTGTCATGCCACTGAGCACAAACGTGTGGCCTTAGTCAGGCCGTTCCCTCTGTGTGGAGCAAAGCTCCTTGTCTGCAGTAGGAATAAGTGATTAAGGACCAGTGTCGCCGCAGCCTTCGTGGCATCACAGACGCGCCAGTGGTGTGGGGTTCCCGTCGTCCCCTGCTTTGTATTCTGTCAGTGCGTATCCTGCTCCCCAAATCCAGGGAACGGTCTTAAGTTTGCTCATCATTTGATCTCATGTTTCTGGATGCCCTCAAATGTGCCTCATTTTTTAACGACTCCCCTGCCAACATCTATTACTTATATCATAGGTCACTCTGGTTGGTGACTCATTTCTGTCAAATCCACCTACGCTTCCCCTTTGACACTAGTGGCGATTCTCTTCCTTTCCCTGAGCACTCTGTTATTTCTCTTCACCCCATCCCACGATTACCAGCAGCCTTGAGCTTCTTAAATGCAGGACACCCTCCCATTTCTTCTGATCCCGTGTGTATCTGGCCAGGGCGGGGAGGACGAGGACTGGGGAGAGTTTGAGCTGGCTGCTGATCCTCACTCCCAGCGCCTGCTATTTTTCCCACTTCCTTCCCCTGGTTCTCTGAGGCCTCTCCTCGCCCTGGAGTCTTCAGCTCAGAGCTGGCCGAGTTTCACTGGCTGCGTAGGCTGAACCGGGAAGAACTTTGTTCGTGGCGACCCCTTGCAAAACTTAGCATTTTCCAGGAGGAGCAATAATATAAATAGCAATCAGAGTTTATGAAACTGCAATAGTGTAGCAGCGTGGGTTAGACAGACTCGCGGGAGGGTCGCTGCCATCTGCATCGGGCTCGGAAGCCGGTGCCTGTCATTATTAGCACAGTGGACCCGCCCAAAACGCTCGTGGGCCTCAGCCCCGCCCCGTAGCTGGGGCAGGGGCTGGGGCAGCTGCCTTTAATGGAATAATCGAAGGGAGACCTTATTTTCTCTTCTCAGCCTTAGAAACCATACAAATCTACAGAGTTTTTTATGTCTGTTTTACTAATCTTCATGTGCTTAGCATTCAGCATAGCACCTAGTATGTAGATGCTCAACAAATATTTGTTGAACAGAGGAAATGATTGTGCCAGTGTGGTATGTTGCTTTAAAAGATTGCCATAATATTTCAAAGTAAATGTTGTGAATTACTAAATTTTACAGTCTGTTCTTACGTATGCTGTAACGTCCTGCCTTCTGGTTTTAAGGTTAACAGATGCTTAGGTGCTTGTTGCACATGCTTTCCTATAATATATATTATTTCTGCAGGAATCCAATTTTAGTTACTTTAGGCAGCTTTTGACAAGTTAGAAGAGCAGTTTGAGAAGAAGAGCTATAATTAAGGGAGCATTTTGATATGAGATACCATTCAGAATCGGGCACAAGTGTTGTATTTAGCCTATGCATACGGCTCAGAGGTAATAAAGTTATCTTCTGAGGCTTAAGCTGTGTGCAGTTTTGGTGCATGAATAGCCTCACCAGAAGTGATGTATCTTTAAACAGTCTATTGTTAGGTAAAATAAATAGCAGCTGGGGTCCAAATTGTTTTGGTTCTTCGAAAAAAGCAACTGCTATAACAGATTCTTAAAAATTAAAATGAAACCTCGTTTTATTTGTGGAGTAGTTTTGTGTTGTGTTTTGCTTTGTTTTGATTCCGTAATATGTCAGGATTTACTGCTTTATTTCTATAGCTATTGCTGAACAACAAACACCTGTTGGACTTCTTGGCCTAATATAGCAGCTTACTAATTTTCTCCCTTTTAGTATTCTTAATTCATGCTTAGTGGGTTGAAAAGGCTTTGGTCTTTGTTCTAAATAGCTATGATTGGTTTGTTCTTTTTGTTTAAGTTTTTAAAAAATAATAAGCTTATCTTATTTTGTCTTCTTCCCTTCGAAGTAGATTTTTTTTCCTGGACTTAAAATCTGGTGTTCAACCTTGCACCTCAGAACAAAACATTATGGTTCAGTGTTGCTGCTAAATAAATAGTAGGTCACATTGGCAAGGCCTGGGTTCATACAAGAATATATTATAAAGTTCCCTTAGTGTGTGCGTAGACCCTACCGATAAAGTGGTAATTATAAAAGAGCTTCATTCATTTTCCAAAACTTCTGCAGAGTGCCAGGTGGCAACTATACCCTTCTAGAGCCCCACAGTTATGTTCCCTTTTTCCCCCAAAATATAAAAGCCTCCTCATTCTTCTGTCGCAGCCAAGACTTGTTTGGCATAGAACCAGGGAAGCCAGTAGAAAACAGTGTAATATTCAGCCCCTTCTATATTTGAAGTCTGATTGTTATAAGAGGGCATTTATACTGCATTTGGTCCTAAATGAACTTTATATAAAGTGATTTTCTGTTTTAGAAGTGATTACCTCACAGAAAAACATTCTTTATGAAAGTCTTTCCCTCTGACCACTGTATTTTCATGAATGAGAACACTATAGAAATCCCCTACACAGTGAGAGCAAATTACATGGCTGAAGAGCTCTCTGCCCAGGGAGGCTGGGGTGGAATCACGCAGTTTAGCAGGAGAGTCTCAGCTCATTGATTCCAGGCAAACCCAGGAAATGGCTTCCCCGCCTGGCCTGACTGCTCCAGAAGAAGATGGGGGCACCTTAATCAGTAGCCATTTCAAAATTTAGAAAATAGATATGATTGCTAATAAAAGTTAGATGAAATAGTTCAGTTTTGAACTTCCCACATTGGGTGTATCTGCAGTCTTAGATCTGATGCAAAGCTACACTTAGCTATGACTAAGTACAGTCTGTCCAGTATTTACTGGTATCGTTTTATTTTAAAGCATTCTTTAAATTGCTTATACAGTAATAAATGTGAAAGTATTACAACTTTTATGTAGAATTAGCTTAAGGAGTCTTGAATTCCTTTCCACTGATGTCTCAATCATTAAGCAGGTATAACTCTTTTAAAGCTTAGGGGAGAACTTTGTTGTTTCTGGCCTGAGGCCATTGCAGCATTCCCCAAGCGAGAAGACTTACAGACAAAAACATTATAGATAGGACAAAGTTAGAAATATATTTAGAGTATGAGGCTGTAATATGTCACTCTGGTTTAACTGTTTTGAGTTTTTTAAACAGCCCAGGGTTATAAATAAAAAATCTAAATGTTGCATGTAAGTCTGTGTTGAAACAGCAGATCATTTGCAGGCATGCCTCGTGTTACTGCGCTTTGCTTTAGTATTGTGCTTCACAGGTAATGCAGTTTTTACAAACTGAAGGATTGGGGCAACCCTTCCACAAAAGATTGTGACTCATTGAAGGCTGAGATGATGGTTAGCATTTCTTAGCAATAAAGTATTTTTTAATTAAGGTATGTACATTGGTTTTTTTAGACATAATGCCATTGCCCACTTAGAAGTGTTTTATAGGCACTGGGAAACCAGAACATTCAATTGACTCACTTTATTGTGGTTGTCTGG